AAGCCTTCGCGCAAATAGTCTTTGGAGATCATTGTTCGTCGCATGGTCGCCATCTCTTCAATGCGCGAGCATGTTTCTTTAATCCACGGGTATTCAGACGCGCGTGCGCGCCATGGCTCATCGGCGGCAGTGCGCGACCATGTCGCCACATCGTCCGCGCATGCCCGGAAATGTGTTTTTTCAAGTCGTATGTCTTCTGGCGTGCGCGCGCGAGATGCCATTCTTCTTAGTCTTCGCCCTTGTGAAATAAAAGTCATACATTGAATATCCAAGGTATTAGCAAAGTCCCAGTATAGCTGAGACGCACGAATCACATGTTGCACATACATCGTATTCAGCTTATCGTCCTGGACATACATGTGTCACTTCTCCTCCCCTTCTTTCCTTTCCTCCCTGTCGCTTGTGATACGTACTGGATTTGCCGTGCCATTGAGGATGGGCGCTGCGATTTTCTGTGGTCTCCTTGGCCCTTCCGTGAAGATGCTAAAACGTCAGGCTTTCCTTATGAGCTGCGGAAGAAGTTTGCATCCCTCTTTAGCCTTGGCCACAGGAGTGTCGTGGCTGGGGAAAGGCGGGGTGCCACAGTGCCACCAGGGCTCAGTTGTTTTCCGGTCGTGCTCTGAAGTGGCGTGCGTGACCAGTCTAGCGTGAGTCGCCATCGCCTTCTGTGCCTGAAGCGATCTCACAGCATGGGGCAGTTTCGATAGTGCGGTGCTTGTGGCAGCAGGCTGCCTTTCGTGACCAGTATGTGTTGCGTGGTGGTAGTACGAATGTCCAATGCGGAAGCTGCTGCACTTTGGGTGAGAGCCTTTGTCGCCAACATGAGAAGCAGCGCACCTGTACAAGCAGCAGCAGCGGCCTGTGAGGAGCGGCATGCTGAGTGGTGGCACGCGTTGAGCTGGTCACCGCCGGTAAGCGAGCTATCGCGGGCCGATCGCGCGAAGAGGCGATCCAACCGCCTGGCCGACTTCGATGCGACCGGAGCCGCGATGAAGTCACGCAGCGTGAGGCTACGATCGGCGACGTGCCCCGTTGGACGTCGAGGCAGACAGCAATCGGGGCGCACGCCGAGGGGGTCAGCGCCAACGAGGGTCGGCCAATCCCCTCTGGCTGACCTGGGCGTGGGAGGACAAAAAATCTCGACGGAAGTTTTGCATAATTTTGCTCGGTTTAAATTCGATTCCTCGAAATTTGAACATTCGTTGCAGCTCTAGTATTTTTACCCCCATCTTCGATCTTATTCCTGATCGCCATCTCGATCTCAGGTCGATCGGGTACCTATTACCCATGTCGAGCCGAGGCCCCCACCTCGTCTCCGCCTGCCGACCTGGGGTCCGGGAGCCACTGGGCGGCTGGCCGACGTTCGCGAGTGGGCCTCGGTGGAGATTTGGGTCGGCGTGGACCTGGGTTCGTGCGTCCCTGGGGGCCAGTGCCAGCTGTTCATCACGTGTCCACCAGTGTTGTGCCAATGCGGAAGTGTGCTCGGCGGTGTCTGCGCGCGGGTTCGTCATCGTTTCCAGTGCCGATGCTCCCCAGGCACAAGCTCGTTTTCGCTTCTGGACTGTCGCAGGGATTTGCGTCTGCATGTTCTGGGTTGAATACTGCAGCTGGCAGTTGTGCATTTTTTTCTTTTCTCTAGTGTTGATTAGCTCGGTCCTTGCCTGACGTACGCATCTCTTTACTCGAAGCTCTGGCCGAGCTGCTGCTTCGGTAGAGTTCCGGGCTTGCTGCAGACGTGGGTCTTTGGTGTCTTCTTTTGGTGTGCTGTCGTGAGTCGTTGCTTGACTGGGCTCAGCATTGAGGATCTGCTGCCTCCGTAGTTTCTGCCATGGCCGTCGGAGTGAAGACGTCTTCTGCAACACGTCTGCCTGAGCTCATCCTCCGAGTGTCAGCGTGCGCAGGTGAGCGCGCCCTGCCTAGGTCCTCGACCAGCGCAGGTGGTCTGCTCGCCCCCGAGGCGCTCTGTTGTGTGAGGTGTGTGTTTGATCATCGGGTTCTCCTTCCTGCTGCCTGCTCTGCGGCCACCGCTCGGCCCGCTTCTTCGCATTGCACCGGCTCCTCGCCCGCTGGCGTGCGCCGCATGCTGGCCGACCGCCTCGGGCGGCGCCCGCGGCCGCCGACCAGGAAAGCACTCTCGCTCGTGTCGGTGGACTCGTGCGGTCCCGCTCTGGCCGCCCCCTCCCGCCTTTCTCTGCGCGCGGGCTGCTCGGCTCTCCCGCAGCCGTGCCGCCTCGGCCCTGGAGTCACCGAGCGCCTCTCCCAGCGCCCGCCCGGTGCCTTACTCGCAGACGTCCGCAGAGCATCTGTTCGCCTCGATGTCATATGTCACTCCCGCGGCGGATCCATGCCATTTGCGAGTTGTTACCTTGCGAGTAGTGGAGCGCGCTTGTCGATGGAAGGTCCCGGCCGTGCGACGGCCTAGGCTCCAGGGCGCCGAGCGGGACTTGGCAGCGCCTGCGTAGGGCGTCGGAGCAGCATTCCTCAGACCGAGCGAGGACGC